CCTCTCATGTCCAATCAGTTGGCTGGTCTCACCAGTTCTCCCACCTCAGAATCTCTAGAATCCTTCTCTTCTCTCTACTCGCTCAGCCATTATCCTAAACCAGGTCTTCCTTCCCTTTAACCTGGGCAATTTCTGTTGCTTCCTAATTGTTCCCTCTGATTATCCTTTCCTTTACTTATCTGCCAGATTAGTATTTCTAAAACAGGTCTGACCATGTCACTCCCATCTTCAAAAAAAATAAAAACAACAGGCCCTCACTTTATCCATCCATCCCCACTAGCTACATCTTCTATCTCTTCTCCCTTTCGTGGCTAAATTCATTAAGGAAGCCCTCTACAATCAGTGATCACATTTCCTCTCCTTTCACTGTGTTCTAAACCCTCTGTAGTCTGGCCTTTAGCTTCATCATTCAACTGAAATTGTGTCACTGGGTCGAGTAGTACCTGAGGGAGAGTAAGATTTAAGAAGACTGGGGGCAGCTAGGTGGCACAGTGGATAGAGCACTGGCCCTGAAGTCAGGAGGACCTGAGTTCAAATCCGCCCTCAGACCCAACATTTGACACTTACTAGATGTGTGACCCTGGTCAAGTCACTTAACCCCAATTGCCTTTAAAAAAAAAAAGGATTTAAGAAGACTAGAAAGTTAGGAAGGGGCAAAGTTATGAAGAGCTGTCTTTTGTATTTGATCCTGGAGCAACTGGAGTTTAGTGAAGGGGAATGGGAGTGGTGGGGACGTGGTCAAACTGGGGCTTTAAAAACATCAGTGTTACAGCTGAAGAGAGGCTGCGTGGGAGACCAACAAGCAGGCTGCTGCGGCAATGTAAGCATAAAGTAATGAAAACCTGATCCCGGGTGGCAACAGTATGAGAAGAGTAAAGTGTGACAGGTACGAGAGATGTTTGGAAGGTAGGAAAGACAGGACTTGGTAACCGATTAGACGTGGGAGGGGAGAGTGAGGATGTTGAGGATGACACCTAGGTTAGGAGCCCTGGTAACAGAGAGGATGGTGGCATGCTCCACGATAACAGGAAAGTTAGGAAGAGGAGGGGCTGTAGAGGTGGAGAACCTGTGTGGCCTCTAGGTCCTTGGGTGCGGCCTGTTGACTGAGTCCAAGTTTTACAGAACAAATCCTTTCATTAAATTTGGATTCAGTCACAGGGCTGCACTTGAGGAACTAGAGGGCCACATGTGGCCTTGAGGTCATAGGTTCCCCACTCCTGGAGAATGAAAGATAATGAGTCCAGAATTGAACAGGCTGAGTTTAACATATCTATGAGATAGCCAGTTTGAAAAATCCAAAAAGCACTTGGAGATGTGAAACTGGAGGTCAGGAGGGAGATTGGAGTTGGACAAATGCCCTAATTAGGGCAGCCACTTTGGATGTGCGCAGAGTAATAGAAACACGCATCTTAGAGCTGGCACTGCAGCTCTGGGTTTTTTCCTCATTACTTAAAATATTTTTCTTTCATGATATCCTCTGTTAAAAAATGGGTTGGTGGTTTTTTTTTAATCCTGGAGTTTACTTGTTTTATACTTTAAATTGTTAATAGTTTTCTGGGGACTTCAAGAACCTTTCTGTTTGCTATTAGATTTAAAGAGAAGAAATCAAACCACTGTTGACAGAGTAATTATGGTACTTTTCGTGGTAACAATTGTTATGAAAAGTCTTAGATACCTGCAGGGGGAGGGAAAGAAGATGCAGACACCTACTAAATAAATAAATCTGTCTGGTAATTCTTTAATATCTTTGAAATAGTCTTTTCCTCTTACAAGAAGTAAAGTAAGAGGGGAAAAAATTCCAAGTAAGGAACACAGCGAGTATGAAGGCTTTCTCCTTGTCGCTCTGTGAGAGCCTGATCATACCAGTATTATTCTCCCTATTTTATAGATGAGGAAACTTGGTTTAGCAATGTGGGAGCTTGCCTAGGGTCACACGTCTCGCTGCATTTTCAGCTAGGAACCCAAGTCTGTCCTGGGCCTGGTGCTCCTCCCATTATCCTGGCTTTGCACTCTGCCACCCTGAAAATAAAAATCACGTCTGTTGTAATAAACTACTTTAAAGACCTGTGGAGGGATTCTTCTAAGTGGAAAGAATCCAACTGATGTAAATTTTAAGTCAATTTTCCAAACATTTACCAACCTAGTTCTGTTTTGTTGTTGTTTATTTGCCTGGGGTGTGTGGGCTCCTGTTTGTTTACAAGACTATGGTATCAGTTTAAGCCCAGAACAGCCAATGAATCCGTTCAGTAAAACAAAGCTGAGAAATAAGTGAGCAGCCTTGAAAGGCTTAAAGGGTAGGGTGTGATGACGCAGATTTTTCTGAAATGTTTGGTTCAGGGGTAGCACTGGATATTTAAAGTCACTTCCATCTCCATAAATCTGTGATTCTCTGAAAGCAGTTTACCTTAGCAAGGAAAACTACAAATAAGAGGATTAGGGCCTCAAAAACTCAGCACTAATGGTATACTTTTGCATCTGGTTTTATTCCATAATGGATGATAGGTTAACAGCCCCTTTCCTCTGCTACTCAAGGATTTTTTCTTATTAAGCACAAGACATATAGTATCATAGAAAAACTATCTACTCTTTTATTGTACCTGGATTTCGCATAGGGCCCTTTGTTGCTATAATGGCTTGCCTGATCATTTCATCAGCCCTTGAGCAGCATTTTGGACAAATAAAAAGGCTCATGAGATAATTTATTCCCTGGGCCTGGGAAGAGATAAATAAGCCTATTTAGGTGGTAATAGCAGGATGGTTTAGTGAATTAGAAGTCCTTAATTATTATGCTTCAAGCAACAACTTAATTTGCTTCAATCTGTTCCATTAGCTCTCAAACAGAGCTCTTTCTGATGACAGATCTGGTGGCAATTTTGATGCTTGTCATCTCCCCATTTTCATAATCAAAATGCCTGTTATTAAATAGTCATATGTGGACTCATTAGGCTGAGTGCTGTGTAAATACGTAGTCTTTTGCCCTTTAAAAGCTTTATGTGGTAATACCTTTATTTCCAAAGAGGATGATGTGTTTCTACAGTGTACTTTATCAAAAACTTCATTACAACAGAAATAATGTGGGATGCATTTGAGGATGTCATTTAAGTGGGAGATTGTGGTATGAAAATATCAGTAAGAACTAGAGATCAAAAATGCTAGAAAAGAAAAAATATGGACCTGAGAGTCTTAGAGTAATACGAAGGGGAAGAGTTGAATTAAAGTTATAAGAGCCAGAGGAGGAGATCTAACCCAGAGTTTTCCAAATTGTGGGGTACGTAACCATGGGAGGACCCAAGATCTTGGAGGGAAAGGCAAAAACAAAGGTCAAAATTATTGTATAGTTTTTTGTAATACAATTCCATCAATATATCCACTTTTTTTCAGTAGAAAGTTGAAATCAAAATCAACAAAAACAAAATCCCTTCAAATGATAGTAAATACATTGCACATGTTATTTAATATGGTATGTACAAACAAGGTTAATTTTGAGTCAGTGTTGTCAAATACTGAGGCAGGTATAATCTATCACTGTCACCAACTATTGATCTTGTCTTATGACACAGGTAAGTTTTGTTATCATGTTACTTGCTTCATTCACATTTTGAATGTATGATGCATAAACTTGAGTTTTAAAAATCTTTATATGGAAGTTAAAAGTACAATAAGATCTGTTGAATTTCTCAGTGTCATTCGTTTTGGTATGCCCAATGCAATAAACTACTTTCCCCAAGACTGCAACTCATGAATATATTTATATATAATCATTTTTAAATGTCAGCAACTAAATTGAAATTAAATTTTGTTAATTTTTGGTTGTCTCTAACTGTTAAAGAAAAATAGTATCCCTTCATGTTGAATAAATACATTGTGAATTTTAAGGAAAAATGCTGTGGTGGAAATTGAGCTTTATGCAAATAGCTGCTAATGGTTCCACTTGTAGATAATGCAGTGGAAAAAAATGGCCCACATCTGATGATCTCTGTGATCAATTAACTGAAAAACTAAAATCTTTCTGTTATATATTCCAGATGGCTGAAGTAACAAATGTAGCTAAAGGTGCTTATTTGATTATATTTGTAGGATATGTTGTCAAAAATCAATGTTAGGAAGATTTGAAATTGAAATTTTAAAAATGTTATTTTATAAACCTAATAATAACAGTTCCATAGCAAGAGAAAATTTCAGTGTAATTGGCAGATATTTGCAGATTTTTATGAAAATTATATAATATGGGAAAATTATATTTGAGAAAAGATGATGATGTGAAAATTTCCAACCAAGCCAAGATCCCCCCAAAAAAACTTTTTAAGGAATGAAGAATGACATATGAAAGAAAGATTTAACAAAACAAAAGAGAAACATAATTAAGCTCCTCTATCCAGTCTATTACTGCCCTCAGATAGGGCTTGAAGTTTTTGGACAAGCTTAAAATCTGTGGTCATCCTGTCTGGACCAAGGCAGGAGGTGAACTGAGAGACTGAAAGGGGAAAAAGGACCTGAGCCTAGCCATCCCATCTAAGATTGCAGGAGGGGGCAGAGCCTGACCTTGACAAAAAGGCTTAATCCAGGAACTGAAGCTATTGATATAGGTAAACAGAAGAAAACGCCAGTGAAGAAATATTTTGGATTAAGAGAATCCCAAGATAAAATCCAGGAAGAAAAAGTCCGTACAACTCCCAAAAAATGAATTGACCACAAAGGTTCCAAGAGTTGATGGAATTAATAAAGGAAGAGTTGAAACAAGCGATAAAGATTAAAAATAGAATGGAATTGGAAAAGAATAAATGTATTTGAATAAAAAATAGAAAACCTTGTTCAAGTGTTGGACACTCTGAAAGATAGAATGGAGCAAACAGTACTCAGTAATTCAGTGACATACATGATATTAGAACAAAGTCAAAAGACTGAAAAATTAGAAGAACATTTTGAAGCATTTGCTATAAAAAAAAAACTGACCTGAAAAACAGGATGAGAAGAAATAATTTAAGAATCATTAAACTTCTGAAAAACCATGACCAAACAAACAAACAGAAAAAACCCTAGACACCATATTTCAAGAAACCATAAACGAAAACTACCCAGAACTATTGGGAACAGAGGGGAAAGTAAACATAGAAAGACTGCACAGATCAGAAAGCAAATCGAGCACAGTCAGAAGTGTCATAACTAAAATCCATAGCTACCAGGTCAGAGCATTGTGTTGGAGTCTGCACAGATAAAGCCCAGTCAATACCAGGATGAAACAAAGGTCTGCAAGCACTAAGTAAAAACAGGGTCCCTCACTCAATTCGAACACATTGCTTATTTTACATACACTTGGATCAAGAAATATGAATGAGGAGGTTCCTTCAGTGAGTGGCAGCAGCTGCTTCAGGTATGGGCAAGATGGCACTGTTCATGCTGCTATACTCAGTGCTTCAGCTCTTCTGATGGCTGGCCCTACCACTCTGGTGCTAGGATTACTTCTCTGGTGCCACTCTCCTGCTGGTGAGGAAATTGCCACTACTTTGCCTCAGCTCCCCATGGAGAGGGAAGCCAGGAACCTTTATGTCTTTTGGGAGGTTGAGATCTTATTGTTCCTCAGTGCCATTGTCATGATGAAAAACCTTAGACTGATCACTGTGAAGCAGCACCTAGGTAGCATCTTCATGTTCAGTAAAATGGCTGATGGAATTCTCCTTCTCTTCTGCCTGAAGACCTGCACTGGCCTTATCTGTATCACCTTCTGCATAGTGTTCTTGCTTACCTGTCCCTGACCCCTCTACTGTAACCCCCAGACAGCCAGTGTTTCAAGGACAAGACAGTTGACAGAGTTGGAATGAGATTCACAGTTCACGTGGACTGTGGAGTTCTTTGCCAATTGGGTTAATGAGTGACAGTCATTTGCACCTATCTTTGCTGGCTTCTCCCTCAAGTACAGTTGTACAGAAATCCGTTTTGGGAAAATGAACAGAAGAGGCCCAGGGAGTCCCTCCTTTACTCCTCCCCAGGTTGCACATCTTCCGGCCTCCTGGCCTTCAACACCATGCCTCTGCTGCCATCTCATCCTGGAGGCTTCCTCACTCTGGGCACTCATCTACCATGCCATCTCCTTTCTGGCCTTGGTGAGTTCTTCCTGGAGCCTCCCTTTGGGAGAGGGGCATAAGCAGACCAACTTTTATTTACCTCCTGGCTATGCTTCTGACTTCTGGAATTTCATCACCATGACCCCACTTAGGGTACTTTCTCTCCCCCAGCTGCCAGTGAATCAATTCCTTTTTGTGTCTCATCTCCCCCCATTCGAATGTAAGCTCCTCAAGGGCAGGAACTGTCTTTTTGCTTGGTACATAGTAAGCCCTTAATAAGAGCTTGTTATCTGTGTACAAAGTGAGCGTGTCACCCCCCACCAAGCAGCAAGGAGTGATTCAGCACCCTTAGACTAACAAGAAAGGGTGAGCTGCCTCTTGGACATTCTCGGAGGAGAATGTGGTCCTCTGAGTTCAGCCTGAATAAGCTATACCCATGTGCCAAGAAGTAAACCGAGTCCCGAGATGAATTCCCTGCACAGCAACCTGAGTGCCCAGCCCCTAAGATGGTCAGATGGCAAACGCAGGAAGGACCAATAGGAGTCCTGCCCCACCTGTCTCTTGCTCTTCCCTAGTTGCCTTTTCAAACCCTGCCCTTGCTAAGACTGTCCATAGACTTTTGGTAGTTATGTCTGTGCCTGTCTGGCACAAACCTGGAACGAGGCCCACGTCTATAAGGGAAGAATTAATGAAAACATGCAAGAGAATCCTCTTCTTAGCCAAGTGCCTCCCTCCAGTTTAGTTAGGAAAATCAATTCTTTATCTTGGAAGGAGGATGTTTCCTTGTAAATGTGATTTTTTTTTTACACTGACTTTGGGCTTAGGAGAAGATAGTCACATGTCTTTATCATCCTGTATTTTCAGAGTTCCTTCTAGAGAGCAAATACATGGCCCTTCAGACCCAAACAGATTTCAGGTCCAAGAGGCCAGAGGTCACACTAACTAGATCTCCCAGATGAGTGACCTCTCTTCCCTATACCTTTGTGGCCTTTCTTATTGCAATTTATCCTTGGGAAATAGTGTAAGTATAATAATCAATTTACAACAGGACTCTTTAACTTTTGGGGAGTGTGGAAAGATGAGGCATAAGTTGCTTTTAAGGGGATAGTTGTTGAATTTCAACACTACTTTCCTTTATTGCATGGGAAAGGAGGACCAAGAGCATGCAAAGTGTCCCCTCCCTGTGGTCCCCCGCGTGCCCCCCGCCGTGTGTTAGGTGCTGAGGGAAGAAACTGGAATTTGCAAAAAAAAGAAAAAGAAAGAAAGAAAGAAAGAAAGAAAGAAAGAAAGAAAGAAAGAAAGAAAGAAAGAAAGAAAGAAAGAAAGAAAGAAAGAAAGAGAAGGAAGGAAGGAGGAAGGAAGGAAGGAAGGAAGAAGGAAGGAAGGAAGGAAGGAAGGAAGGAAGGAAGGAAGAAAAGAGAGAAAGAGAAAGAAAGAAAGAAAGAAAGAAAGAAAGAAAGAAAGAAAGAAAGAAAGAAAGAAAGAGAAAGGAAGAAAGAGAAAGGAAGAAAGAAGGAAAGAAAGAAAGAGAAAGAGAAAGAAAGAGAAAGAGAAAGAGAGAGAGAAAGAAGGAAGGAAGAAAGAAAGAAAGAAAAAAAAAGAACAGGTTTTTTTCAAATTACTGCAAGAGTAATCAACATGAAAAGGAAGGCTCTTTGCAAAACCACTTGATGGTGTAGGAGCAGAGCATAAGGCACTTATATATTATTAGGAAGCATATACTTTGCAGTTAAAAACTAAATTGTGATTTGTCTTCATGATAATAACAAAAAGAAAGCAAATCAATTTTATTACAAAAATTTCCCCTTGAAACTTGTGTATACAGTAGACATTTTTTTGAATACCAAATACTCAGATAAATTCATGTAGTGTCCTCAGTTCATGCTCTGATCAGAAAGATAAAATGACTGCATTTGTGAGCAAGTTAGAGCTTGGGTAATAAATTTGCAAAAAAAAAAATCGTTTCTGTGGTTCCCAATTGAAAAAAAAATACCAGCTCAGTAAGTGAGAGAGAAGGAAGGAAAGATCTGAGTGTGAATAACAGAAGCAAGACTTAACTTTATTGGAAAAGACAAGTATTTCTGACTAGGAAGAGATAAAGTTCATTTGCTATGAACCAACGGGCTCATTTGGTCTTATGAATAAGAACAGGTAATAGATGTCTTGTGAGAGTACATTGAAACAGCACTGAACATATATCTTATTACATTTTGACTCTGGATAATAGTTCTCTATCTAAGTGATATAAATGTTACGACTATTTGTAACACCTTATTTGTGTGAAGTGAGTGTTTTAGGGGCAGCTAGTGGTGCTATGGACAGAGCACTGGGTCTGCAGTCAGGAAGACCTGAGTTCAAATCTAGGCACAGACACTTAGCAGCTGTGTGACCCTGGGCAAGCCACTCAATCGCTGTCTGCCTCAGTTTCCTCAACTGTAAAATGGAGATAATAATAGCATCTATACCACAGGTGGTTGTGGGGATCAAATGAGGTAATATTTGTTCAAAGCTCTTAGCTCAGTGCCTCTCACATAATAAGCAATTATTCCCCTTTTCCTGCTGTAATTGTTAAGAAGATAAAAGAATTTTGATTAATGATTGAAAAAAAAATATGAGTATCAGTCTCACTAATGATTCTGAAAAATTTTACAAGAAAAAACGTTAATAATGTTTGTAGCTATTATTTTTATGGAAATTACAAGTAATTTAATCAACAAACATATATGTTGTTATATATTTGTGCTTTGTTATAAAATTGCAATAAATCATTTTGTTCTAATAAAATGAGCTAAGAAAATGATTGCACAGATTATTTAATGAAAAGTGAGATGACATAATGGGGAGGGAGGGTGCTGAAATCACTTGATGAAATTTGGAAACCTGTGATATAATTAATCTGTACTTTGATTAGGAAGCATCTGGAGGGAAGGGACTAGCTAGAGGATTGTAGAGTGAGAGAGACAGTGGGCTCTGGTTCCTGACTCAGTAGCTTCCAAGAGCAGACCTCCAAGAAGCATGGCCAAAGCTGCTTTTCTGCCCGGCAAAAAATGCCTGCTGATAGCTAATTATTCTACTAAGTAATACAGTCTTCCATTCCACATTAAGAGTGTTTAAAATGAGTATTTAAAATGCAGGTAGAAAATTAGTTAACATATAATTAGTTCACAGTAGAGCTTAATCTGTCAACCAATTAATATGGTAATAATAATAACAATAATAATAGCATTTATGTTGACCTATAAGGTTTGCAAAGCACTTTCCAGGTGTTGTATTTGATCTTTACAACATCCCTGTCAGGTGGCTGCTCTTACTAACCCCATTTTTTTGGTTCTATTTTGTTGTTTTTTCAGTCATGTCAACTCTTTATGACTTTGTTTGCGGTTTTCTTGGCAAAGATACAGGAGTGGTTTGCCATTTCCTTCTCCAGCTCATTTTACAGATGAGGAAACTCAGGCAGACAGGGTTAGGTGACTTGCGCGGGGTCACACAGCCAGTAAATGTCTGAGGCCAGATTTGAACTCAGGAAGAGGAGTCTTCTTATCTCCAGGTCCAGCACTCTATCCACTGTACTACCTAGCTGCCCTTTACACATGAAGAAATTGAAGTTTTAAAGAGGTCTCAGGCAGGATTTGAACTCAGAATTTCCTGACTCCAAATCTCTTACACTAGCCATTGCACCATCTAGCTGTCCCATGTACTAGCAAACATTCTTATATAGTGGAAAGAGCCCAGAATTTGGATTCAAGGAGCTTGAAGCCCTGACCTTGCTAATTCTGATCTGTGGGACAGCTACTCCAAGCTTCAGCTTCCTCATCTATTGTTGTTGTTTGTCTTTCACTCTCGAAGAGGACCATGACATCAGGGAAGTGATGCCATGACATGTAAGTGAATTGGATTTAAGTGAGGGAGGCCTGTGCAAAGTCACCAGCCTCACTCTCTCCTCTGTAGCCATCTGGGTCCAGTGACCAGATATCAATTAGGATGACTGAAGATGGCCCTGGAAGCAGTGGGAGGTCCTTATCTATAAATCAAAGGGATTGATAATCTTTAAGGTTTAGATCCTATGAAATAATATTACATTTCTTGTTTTGATGGGGGTGAGGGTTTGGTTAAAAAAAAAAAGCAATTGGAACACCCTGAAGGCAGAGTGCTAATTATATTTAACATGCCTTCCCATCACTGTGGTAAAATGGTAACAATTTCTCAGAAATGTTTGTGTTCCTTTCCAGTTTAAAGACTTGAATCCTACTGCAACTTCTAGCGTGGGGATTTGCCCCAGTGGGTTTGTAGCAGTAATTGAGGTGTTACTTTCAAGCTTGCTGGTACCTCACCCTATTTACCAATACTTAGTACAACAGTTGCCACTGGGTGGTTGGGGAGAAAGTCAGAAGAGGAGGCTGGGAAAGCAGAATTTAGACAGAGTCAACACTTTTTAACTTTTAGTTGGGGCTAGGGGGTGGAGGAGGTACAAATAAAAGCAATCCCGTAAGTATTTTTGACTTACACAAGAAGGCAGTGCTTCCTATGATTTATGAATTTGGGTTGTTGTTTTTTAAAATACAAATGACTTCATTATAGGGTAGCTCCTTTCCCGGAAGACTCATTAATTCTCAAGTAGCCTAAAATAGAGCGCATTAATACACATGAAAGGGACAGGGAGCCCAGCACTAACTGAATACAAGAGGCACTTCTGTTGTGTACTGAGTTACTGCTCCTTAAAGCTAGGAATACTACTCAGAACTTTCAAGGGAGGGCACCTCTGCCACAGAAACAGCAACAGTAACTTTGCAGCTTAGTTAGGAGTTTGTCCTTACAAGTTGCTGTGAATGGAAAATTCCTCACCCTGTAGCCCTGTTGTGATGCATCTCCCTTCCTGGACCAGTCCTCTGCCCTCAGATGTAGTCTTTGCCCACCCTTGAAGTCTTTCCAACCTGGTTGGAGGGACCATTTGTGCTCCACTGGCCAGCAAACAGAGCCCAGTGTTACCTCTAGGCCAAACTCAATTGGAATAGGACTTAAATAGAATAAAATAAGGGTAA